CTCCTTTCTCAATGTTGGACACCCTTAACATAGACTGTGGCAGAGGATGCAAGTGAAAACACACACGAGAATGCAAATGCGCAGGTGTGCGTGCACAGTCAGATAAAGACAGAAGAGTTCAGTGTTAATGGGATTCATCCATGAAAGGTCAGGTGGTTATTACGGTGTTTCATAAAGGCTCTAGTTGGTGAAATATAATCAGCCTAAAACAGGGACTGTACCATTTTATTTTCACGGTTGGGGAATAAATCAAACTTGGCCTCACAAGGAACTAAAGCTAATTATGCTGTGCTATTTACTTCTACAGCAAATAATCATGAGCCCTATAAAAATCTGAAAGTGAAAAATGTAAAGAATGGCTGGTTCTACAAAGCAGCATTGTGCAATATTGCAATATTATAATATAATTATAATATTAGCAAGCGGCATTATGGATTGCTGGCCTTACAGTGTCCCAGTGGAGTCGTGTGAATTTATTTGTTGTACATTTTCTAGTTTTATACTTCGCCTGTGCTCTTTTCGCTCTGGAGAAGGTGAAGGCTAAAAGTGATGCTGCACGCACTGGTGCAATATTTTCTTCTTCTATGTACTCTATACCTTTTTTTGTTGTTGTAAATTGTGTTGAGCAATAGCTCATCTAATCTTAGTTTAGTATTTTAGCTTGGAAGCATAGATTGAGGGAGGTGCATAAAGCTAAAATTTTACCAAATTTTTACCAATTTTTCCATTTGTTCCTTTAATTCTCAGTTAGCACAGATACTTTCTACAGTTTGATGAAGACTGATGCTCTTCTGGCTGTTTTTAGTTCTGAATTTGGTTTGGTATTGTTGTGTGTGTGTTTATGGGCCTGTATTTTTCTCATACTGAATGGTCCATGAATAATGTTATGTAGATTTTAGAGTATGGGAAACTCTGCGTTGTTGGACTATGTAGTGTGTTTGGCTGAGATTGCAAAACTTATTTCAAAGTTCATATTTAATGCTCGATGTGTTTCGTCCTATTTTTCTTTCTTGTATTGATTGAGAGACCGTAAAATGTTCTCTTTTCATTTTCTATTCTGTCAAGTCTTGAGCCGTCTAACTAAAAGAGCTCAAAAACTGTCTCTCATGCTGAGGTGTAATTGGTCTCCGTCTCTGTGTCTTGCTCTCAGCTCATGGCCCAATGAACATGAGTGCTTGCACATTTGGGCTAATGATTTTGAATAGTGATTAAAATGAATTGAAAAGTGTGCTGCTTCTTTAGTATCCGGACCCCGTCATCATTAGAGGCTTTCTTCCTCTCTCTTCCTCCTTTCCTCGTTCTGTATGAACAGTGTTAGTCGGGCAGGGGTTTGAGAGGAGGCCTGGGGTAGGCTTTCATGAGCGCAGGCTCAAAGGTTTCCCCATTTCTTGTAATCATGGACACCACTCTTCTAGCACTTTCACTGTCGTCTTCTGGCTCCTCAAAGGTGCCTTTGATTCTGTCCCATCTCACACCCAGGCCAGATAGTGTCGCATTGCATTTTTCCCCTCTCTTCTTCACCCCCTTACTTGCCCTTTGCTCTTTTCCCTCCTCCAAATCGAGCTCATCAGTCAGTTTTCATATTTATTGTTCTCGGATTGTGAGCTGATGTAGCACTATTCTTTTAATGCCCGGACGTTTCTTCATTTCCCCATCCACCCCTCTCCCCTCCACCTCCCAGTTAGCCTTGATCCACCTTTTTATGATTATCTTCTTTTCTGTGTTTTTCCTGTTCTCTCGTTTTAAATGAATTATGCAGAAGGCAGGAAATGGGGATTAAAGAGGAGCTAAAGCCAGTGCCAGCTTCAGTGGTTCACAGCTCCACACAGTCTCTCTCAGGATCATGAACACATCAGGGCTACAAACTAACCCTTTTCCCTCTGCTGACATTTTTCTAAGTTGTCCATCTGTTGCACTTTGTCCTTCACCATCCCTGCTGTGCCCAGCTAGTTTTTTATTCTCATAGACATTTTTTTCTCTCCAGTGGAATATAGTAATATGTTTTATATCAAGGAAGAAAAAATGTTAAACACGCAGAAGCAATTTTTGAATTTTAATTTTTCACTGCAATAAATGGATATGTAGCTAACTTTTGTCCACATGTCTGTCTTAGCTTTTTTACAAAGCATTTTTATATATATATTTTTAAACGTAAAAAAACCTAAACACGTTTAATAAAAGCCGCTTCTAAATTGAGCAACTTAAAAACAGTAAATTTGACGGCGTGAAAGTAATACAATTGGTACAATGCAGTGTTGCTATATTTCAGCAGTTTTGGGGAGTGTCAGTCCACTTCCACATCTTTTCTTTCATTTGATCATTTTTGTGAATTTAAGACTTTTGTGAAAAGATTGGCTGGAGAGTCGCATAACGTGGAGGACACCCAGTGAATAGTTTGTTTACACGGAGACACTGGTGGCCTGGAGGGAAATATTTTCCACACTTTTTCCACTTTTTCATTAAAGACTTATCACATATAAATAGTTTTTAAAAACCAATTCCCAGTGTTTTGTCGGTGTATACACGTTCTATTAAATAAACAAAAACGGTATCTTCACTCACCTGGCAGCTTGATTAATATAAATGCATATGAATCAATTATGAACCAGTATGAGTCAATATATGCTTTTGAGTTCAAAAGGACACACAGATGAATAAATGTATTACTCCAAACAAAGCTAATGTAAGTGAATAGAATTTAAATATTTAAGATGAAAATATGTCTCCAGTTTCTACTGCACACAAAATTATATTTGTAACTTTTTTGCTTCAAAGTTTTTAACCCGACTCATGCATCTGCAAAAAGTTGGGAATTTGACGTTTAAAAATTTTTTCTTTTTACCAGACACATTTTCTCACTTGCATGATGCAAAACTTGTACATTGAGTTTCTTTTGATGTTTATTATGTATATGTAGCACTTTTACTAACATCTGCCGTCGGCTAACCCGCGGCACACAAAACAATAAATAGTTAAAAAAAAAGATCACAACAAGCACAAGAAACAACTGAAAGATTTGACAAGACAAAAAAAAATTAAACATTAAAATGGAGCAAAAAATAGGTTAACAGTAAAACTTTAAATTTAATTTAAACTTTAAAATAATGACTGTGGTGACATTACTTACAAGAATGCTCCATCTTTGCAGATGCTGGATGCTGTCTATCACGGCACACTAAGATTCTTAATTGGTTGTAACTACCGTACCCATTGTTGCACTCTGTACTCATTGGTCTTCATTATCTGCACGTAGGCTCTCACATTGGTTCATTTTCATCTGTAAATCCCTCCTTGGTCTGCTACCTTCTTATCTCCTCCCACTTTTTACAGCATCATTGTAGTTACAACATGCACTCTCAGGACATCATTACCTGCAGCGTTCCCTCAGTGCTGACTGAACATGGCAAAAAGGCCTTTTCCTACTCTGCTCCTGCAACCTGGAACACCTTGCAACAGGAACTGAAGTTGTCCACCTTGATTTCTTTTAGGGGTGCACCGATTTATCGGCCCCGATTTCCTTAATTTTGGAAAATCGGAAATTGGCCAATACTTGCATAAGAAGCAGATTTTACCGATTATTTATATAAAAAAAAATTTTTTTTTTGGTTTATTTTAACAACAATTGTCTAAACTTCATTTATATTCCAGAGCACTACCTCATGGCCAGTTAAAACAAGTTTGTATTGTTTCTAAGATATTGTTCAAGGGTATGTTTTTAAAATAAGATTGGAAAATTGAAGGTGCATCGTGACCTTATAACACCTGACAGTGTCGCTTATAAAACATAATCGGTATCGGCAGGTCAGACTTTTTAGAAATCAGTGATCGGCCACAAAACTGCAATCGGTGCACCCCTAATTTCTTTTAAGATCTGATACTCACTTACCTGGACTATATAGTTTAGAGTCACTTGAGTTGCATTTTTGTGGAGTTTTTACACAAAACCCAATTACCAAAACAGGACATGGGAGAAGTAGCATGAAGCTGGAATCATAGTTCATGTGTTTCTGTGTCTGTTTAGGCATCATTTGTGGGTGTGTGCGCTTTATTTGTTTACTGAAAAGGTTCAGATCTTTGTTGGTAACTTCTGCTCATAATCACTTTACAGTGTTAATCAAATTTTCTCCACAAGCTCCCATGGTTATGAAGATGCATTTTTCTCTCTCAAATATGTATACATGTTCCTTTGGCTAAATGCCTTATATGGAATACATAGAGGCATCACACCTCACGGGTGTGACACATGGTTGTTGATGTGCATGCTCTGTATCCTGTGTTACTTATGATTAAATCAGCGTTAATTGTTTGACTTTGTTACTGTGGTGTTTGCATTACATTGTTGACTGAAAATGATGCTAACGCAATGGTCTAAAAATAACTTATTCCCAAAGAGATGAATTCAGTGTAAATGGTAATTATAAGTCAATTGCATGCATGAATTTAATTTTTGCATCATACGTTTTTCTTTAAAACATGTAAATTATTCATTCACGAAACGTTTCTTATTAGAGCACCAGCTATTTCAAGCTCAGTTGTAGGAAAAGCAACTGGTTGTTTAGTATCGTATGCAGTTAGCTTCCATCTAGGTCACATGTCTTAAGTATGCAAATACAAAGAAGCTTACGACATACACCCGTATGCAGCTCGCTCACCTTGCTGTGACCCACATTTACTCAGAACAGAAAAATATATGGAACTGCTTAAAACACTTGCTGGCGTACCAGTCATTTCTAAGGAAGATTTGTTGGAAAAAGGTTACCTAACTGCTTTGTTCAGGGTACTGTTGCTACCTGCTGTAGCTTTGTCTTGCTGCAACTTGAGAGGGACCGAAACAAAGAGTGTCAGATTTACTGGCATGACCTGGGTTCAGGTTCTACTGACACCGCAGAACATTCCATCAATCACTTACTGACTTGATTGTGAAGAGGAGTCAATATTGGCTTGTATTTGTGTAAATTTAGTGGTATTTTAAAGGAACTGTCTTTCTTATTGGTTTCCAGGGGTGTACAGGATCCAACTCTTCACACCATGAATATGGATATACATCCACAAGGACCTCAAGCAGCCGTGCCACCAGTATTTCAGGTAACTTTACACAGACTCAACAAACACAAGCCAAACTGATGACCACAGTTGTGCACTACAATGAGTATTAGTTGCAAGATAATATAGACCATTTTGAACTTTGCTGGGAGTTATGCCATACGGCTGTACAGGAATCGCATTCCTGTTGCGCCAAACTTGAAAGGTATGTCTACTTGTGCACATATATTATTTATATATACTAATATGCATATGTAAATCCAATTAATGTTTTGAGGTCTTTGTTTTCTGGGTGATGAGTACGATGGAAAATTCTCAATGATTAAATCATGAAATTATTTGCATTTATTGGCTTTTTCACAAAGGCTCTAAATTATTAAAGAAATGTAGAGGATAAAAACAGGACAACTTAAAATTGTTGCTATGATATGGTCTGTTTTTATCATGAACAGGGTTTTGAGTGCATACGGTCTCGTCAGGTCTCTTGTAAATGAGTCCCTGAACCTCAGTGGGACTAACCTGTATAAATAAAGGTTGAATGAATGAATAAGGAAGTGTGTATGTGTTTGCTCTAATTTGCCAACCTATAACCTACCTGATAAAACAAGCAATAAGAGATCAGATTTGCAGGTAAATACTGTGTAGCTGCATCTTGACCACAAGAACCTGTTCCTAAAAAGTCTTTTCAAGGTTTTTATTGTCATTCACATCACATGCGGTACATGAGGTGGAACAAAACTATGTACACAGGGTCCCAGTTACATCCAACAAAAATACAAATTGTAAAGAAAAACAGTAATGAGATCTTAGACATGAACTAAGAAATTCTCTAAGAATACACTAAATTAAGGATACACTAAACTAAGGATAATACACAAAATAATGCGCCAAACAACAGCAGCACGAACATGAGTCTGTGTGAGCAGATGAGGACTAATGAACACAGCAGCATAAAATAAATGTCTTTTATAAATTCCAACTCAGAACCTGAGTTTAGACAGAGTTCCAAGGGATATGCAGTACCTCCAAAAACAGTCTAGACTACCAGCTGCACTTATTTTAAAAAGCCAAGTAACAAAAGTGTCAGATGCTGGGTAAAGGTTTATAATTGTTACTACTGGTACATAACCACGGCTGGATGGAGATTTATTTTCTGTGAACATAAATAAAACTAAGGTTCTTGCAGGATTTAAGTTTCAATTAAGATTTTGGTTTGTTCCTTAATAATTAGTCCTTCCTGTTTCTTTGAAGCATCCCATCTTCTTCACACTAATATGTTGATTCTTCCTTCTTTCTTTGTGTCAGTCAAGATGTGCCCTTCAGTCTAATCATCCGACAGATGACTGTAGCCTGTGTGTGAGATGGACAGTAGTGGATGAATGTTGAGTTGTTGGTATTGATCAGAGCTCAGGAGGTTGGCAGAGCCTGGCCTTCCTGCATCGCTCTTTTTGTTCGATACAGCTCAAGCTTGTTCTGTGCAGATCTGGTCATTGTTGGGTTTTAATACCGCCCTCGAACATCAGGGACATTGATTTCTTTACAGGAGGATGTTTTTGCCTCCATAAGTATTGAATAGACTTTAAACAAAGAGGATCATCCATATGCCCCAGAGTAAATGTGGGCTCTTTTTTTTTTTTTTTGGAAAAGGGAAGAAATAACAGCGTTAAAAATAGGATGGTACTGGTTGTTTTGTTTTGTGTGTGTGGAAGGGCAAGGCAACATTAACACTGGAATTGTCAAGGGGGTTAATTTATTCTAAGACTTGTAATTGTAAAATTAAGCGTAATTGGGTTGCACACAGAAGAACTGTAGATAAAAGCTCTAATAATTAATTTGACTTTGGCAACACTTCCCCCACGCATACACACAATATTTTATTTATTTACTTTTACTGATCTTCCAGCTGTTGATTGTTTTATTGTTCTGCTTTAATGATTTATTTCACTGGTTTTCAATCTATTTCCAGCAGTTTACATCAGAATTAATTCTAAAGTTGTTTTTTTTTTTGCTTAAGGTACAGGAAGAACTGAACTTTTTATGTTGCATCATGTTTTTTGTTTTTTTTTCCTCACTCACACTGAACATGTTTGAACCGATGTCACATTTAATGGAAGATGGAGAAAGAGAAGGAAAGAGTTAGATTATGTAGATGGCTGTCTAACTAGCATCCAGATGGGTGTCTTTCAACAAGTCCTGTATCTGTTTCACACTTTTATAAGATTCAGTTTTGTTGGCAGACAGGAATAAAAAGAAGAAGAAGAAGAAAAAAAAAACACCAGCCTCCTCCTGAAGAAATCTGAATTGTATATGTGATGAAGGATACTCCAGATCGCTTGCAATATAATTTCTCTTGGTCCCGGAGGTATGATGCATATGCATTAGTTAAATGAGATGAGATGGTAAGATGTGCATTTTTAATGGTGCATTTGCTCTGGAGTGAGTGGGAGGGTTTCTGAGAGGCCCCTTCAGATCAGATTTCGACCGTCACTGCACAGTTTGACAGACACAGATCTGTCTGGAAGTACCGAGACAAGGCGGTGTGGTTGTGGAGCAGATTGAGAAGAGAGGAATGAGAAGCACCTTTGGGGTGAATCCTGCTGCTTTCACTGCCTGGCTGACTGGTTGAGGATGAATATTGCATGGTGCCTGCTCAAGGGGGCTGGTGGCTGCTGAGGGTGGGTGTTATCCCCTCCCTTGCTGCCAGTTGCTGTCTACGTCTTCCCCTGTATCTAACTTTGTATCTCTTCAATAGAATCCAAACAAATTTAATTAATTTTTTTTGCACTTTGAAAAGTGCTGTGATGTAAATTTTTGTATCAGCATATTGAATTTTGAAGATTATTTACTGCTTAAAGTATAAGAACCGATATAAATGATGATGTTGTCATCCTTATTAGGTTTTAGTCGACACATACATGAACACTGTATCTCAGATAACAGTCCAGTCATGTTGTTCCAGCTGGACTAAGATACTACTTAGCCCACTTGTCTTAATGGTTTATCTTTTATCTAGTTTGTGTTTTTGGTTCTCTAACAGTAAGTGTTCTTGTACTATAATTTCTGGATTATTGAGCGCACCTGAATATAAGCCGTGCCTGCTAAATTTAAAAAGAAAATTTAAAATTTTACATAAATAGGCCGCACTTGTTTATAAGCCACTGGTGTTCACGTTGTAACGATAGATTTACACAGAAAGAATAAAAAAAAAAAAACTTTTAATTAAATAAGTACCAGTAACACACACAAATGCAGTACATGTTTTTTCCTGAACAGTGCATGTAACACAGCTGATTAAAAAAATACAGTAGTCTACCAGGAAGTCATTGATCACTACCCCCCAAGAGAGACGTGTATTGGGCAGCTATGTGAGTGCCTGGGTGTGATGAAGCTAAATGTTTTTGTGGCATGAAGCTCGTTAGCCCATCAAAAAAAAATCCATAAATTAGCCGCAGCATTGTATAAGCCGTGGTGTTAAAAGCGTATGGAAAAAAGTAGCGGTTTATAGTCTGGAAATTACGGTAGTTTTATTGGTTGACCTTTATATTTTGTTGACCAAGTAAAATACCTTTTAGAACGCTGGTGTAAACTCACTGTGTTTACATTTTTGAGCTTCTATGTCAATGTACAGATTATATGTATGAATAACCACATTTTTTTAAAGGGAAGGGGAAGTCTGAGACTGTCGTCAGTGCATGTTCCCATACAATGGTGAAATTAGTTCTCTGCATTTAACCCATCACACTTGAGATACACCCAAGTGGAGCAGTGGGCAGCTATGTCAAGGTCAAGCCGTTTTTATTGTCATTCACACCACATGCGGTACATGTGGTGGAACGAAACTATGCACACAGGGTCCCAGTTACATCCAACAAAAATACAAATTGTAAAGAAAAACAGTAATAAGATCCAAGATATGAACTAAGAAATATGCTAAACTAAGAATATACTAAGCACTAATAGTACAAAACAATGCGCCAAACAGCAGCGCGAACATGAGTCTGTATGAGCAGATAAGGACGAATGAACATAGCAGCATGAAATAAATCAGCAGCATGAGATCAGCATCATAGTCAGCAGCACATATCAACAACCAAGTAGCATTACAGTGACTTTTTTTCACAGTAATTTTCACAGTAATCGTTTTGACTAGGGATTCATGAGTCTAACAGCCTCGGGGTAGAAGCTGTTCCTCAGTCTAGTGGTTCTACACTTAATGCTTCTTAACCCTCTGCCAGATGGGAGCAGGGTAAAAAGTATGTGTGCTGGGTGAGTGGGGTCCTTCATGATGCAGGTGGCCCTCTTCCTGCATCTGGAGGTGTAGCTGTTTGTGATGGTGGGGAGGCTGACTCCAACAGACTTGTAAATGTAAATGTAATGTACAGACATGTAAATGCATGGGGAGAAATTAGGGATTAGGTGTCATGCTCATAGACACCACAATGTAGGAATGGCTGGGAGTTGAACCGCAACTCTCTGGTCCCAAGTCAGCTGCCCTGCCTCTACCCCATCTCGGCCCCCTAAATGGGGTTTATAAATGACCCTAAATAAATGCCTAAGTTTTCAGGTGTTTTGGGTTTGCTAAAAAAAATGTTTGTGCTGTTTCTCATCCTCAAGCCTAATTTTACTTTGAGCAAAATGAGGTTGAAAACCTTTTTTTGTACCAAACCGTAAATTCCATGTCTTCAGTCTACAGTTTTATTAGATTATGTAGACATTTTTTGGAAATTCCAGTGTGTAGCCCCCCAAAACTGAGAGCTTCTTGTAGATAGTTAGCCTTTAAATTTAGCCCGTTTTTTTTTTTTTTTTTGCATGAATGTGCCCTGAGTTCTTCTCTCAGTATCTGCATTCTTCTTGGTCTTTTTATATGAGACAGCACCTCTCTAGTGCCGCTGGCCCTTGTGTGGCAGCCGTTGGCACTACTGGGCTGTCACATCACACCCTCTCCCCTCTGGTTCATGTCCCCCCACCACCCCCTCCTTATTTCCTTTTTCCTGTCTTCTGCATCCCGTCTTCCACTCTCCATGTGTCTTGTCAGTTGTGTT